AATTATTTTATTCTTTTTATTTTATGTTTTGCACTAAATTTCATTAAAGATATAAAATACAAGATTTGGGGATAAAAAAAATAAGGTTGGTTTGATAGGGATATTTCTTCATAATTATCTGTTATTATTAATTACCTGTAAAACTGTTTTACAAATTTCTGTAACAATTATTTGAGTATTCTATGTCCCTGAAGCGCGCATCATGATAAATCTATTTAAAGAGAGCAACATTTCAATTGAGACATCGTTATTTAAATTGTGGATACATATATAGGCTGAATAAGAAATATTACCAATTGAATTATGACTCTCGCCTTAAGAATCGTTTTGGGCATTAATTCAATTTTTAATATTACTATTTCAAGTAAACATGGCAATATTCTAATAATTGAGGGCATAAAAAAAACTTATTGTAGTCTTCAATTCATTTGAAGTGATTAAAAATGCAATTTTGCAATATTAAATTACTTATGACATTGAAAACTTTTCGTTATCTCTGTTCATGTTCTCCACTGATGACTATTAGATAGCATAGTCGTAAAACACAAAACAATATAAAACGAAATTTTAAAAAAAAAGAGAATTTAAAAAAAAAAAGGGGGGGGTTAACTGATGTAATCTGCATTAAGTTTTAATTTACTTATGTTTATTTATGAAATGTGAACCTACTCAGTATTCATAAAATCGGAAAGACATCAAATAGCATTGATATGACAAGACAACATAGTGCGCGTTTTTTCTTTGATTTAAAGTCTTACTATCAAGTGTACTAAAGAACTGGCATCTGATAGTTAATAACTTGTTCGACTATCATGTGGAATTGTTCAATCTTTGATTTTCAAGGTTTACTTTTTAGTGATGGTCTTTCTTTTTTTCAAAATGTTTATAGTCTGTAGTATAATGACTTATCTATATATGATTGATTGTTTGTTATTTAACGTCCCCCTTGAGAATTTTTCACTCATATGGAGACGCCACCACTTGCCAGCACCTACTGCAACACGGGTCCTCGGTTTATACGGTCTCATCTGAAGGACCGGTCTCCACGTCCCGCAGTGGAACTTTACTTGTACCTGAAAGGTCCGTATAGTCATGAGTATATCGAATTCAAAAGTCTGTCTTTTTTTTTTAAATAATCAGGCATTTTACAACACTTCTCACAATTCAGATGGTATCCCAACAAATATAAATACTCATAGTTCAATGTGCTGTGTATCAGCACAACAGCTACACAAAGCGAAAAACAATTTTTTTTTTAAATATATACTCAAGCGTTTAGTTATAAAGGAGTCCAGCCACTTACACCGATACATTCTTTAAAACAACGCGGGTAAGTTAAGGAAGCATACAAATCATTTTCCGGGAAATTTGCATTTTTTTAGAAAATTAAGTTTGATAATTTATCCAAGATGCCGATGAAACGTAAACTATTATTAACTATTACACAAAGACAACAAAGTGTTTGAGGCCAAGAAGTGCACTACCACTACGTCATCACATGACTTATATTAATAGCAAAATATTCCTTAATAAAAAAGTAAACAGAACAACACTACCCCGGGGTGTAATAATTCCTTTGAGTAAATAATATAGTTGAAAAACCTCCCTTATGCCTAAAATGTGCTGCTAGAATCCCACTGTCCGGTCGGGAAAATAATTATTCCACAAATTCGCATGAAACCTTACCCGATGTTTTGCATTATATACATATAACCGGAGATATTTCTTCAAACCATGTTTACCTCATGATTCTAGCAGCACTTTTCAAGTATTATAGAACGCAAGCTTTCGATATCTACAAATCTTATGTTGTGAAGTATCCAGCTTGGTGTTGTTCTTTTGCATTATTGTTGACACGAATGACAGAGGAAGGGCCGACCGGGATACGTAAATAGCTGGTTGTCTTCAATAGAAGATTAAATCGATGAAAATAAATGAACATACCTGTTTAATAAACTTTAACTTCACATGAATCACACACAATATTCACGGTATTTGCTTCTAAGCCCCTTTTACGTATCTTTTTACAAGTCGTCTTTGCCTAATTCTCGTTACATAACATGATCAATTAGCCCTTTCACGATAACTGCGGTACTACTCTTTTGCAGGGCAAATTAATAACATTTGGCGAAGTTTTTGTTGATAGATAATTAAAGGACGTATATTAACAACTGATTAAACAATTGCTTTTACGTCATATTTCACCAAAATATATCATTTTGCCCTGCAAAAGAGTAATACCGCAGTTATCGTGAAGGAGTCTTCTCAAGTTACTTGTTGAACAGTTATGACGTCATCCATTGGAGATTTTAATTCAAGTGACAGATACAGCATTACAAAATAAAAACATCTTATTTTTGTTTATTTTTGCAAGCTTCTATTCATTCTTAGGAGTTTAATTATATCTCTTAATAACAATATTAAGAAAACTTGTGTTCTATAATTGACGTCATCTCGCCTACTATGACGTTATATACACTGATTTAGTCAAGTCAGATTATCTTAGTGCTTCCTTTTAAAACACACATGCGAAGCAAATTGGTTGATTGATAGAAAAACTAAGCAAATCTAAGATCGTTTAAGAAGGAAAACATTTATAAAACTCCCATAACTTAATTTTGAAGTGAACTCATTCTTAGATACATATCAGAAAAGAGAGTCTGTACCAATCAAAAAGCTTCAAAATTCCTGAACATTTAATAATTACTGATATTAACTTCCCATTTCATAATGCTCAATTACAAAATGTTTAAATTTTTAGTGCAAATTTTCTATTGTTTACTGTGACATAACCGATAAAATAAATCCCAAATCTGATACTTCAGTATATCAAATTACTGCCGGACACTCAAGGCATGTTTGTGCAAAATTTTCTTTCAGAATGCGTTGACTTAAGAAATAAACAACAATGCTAGAAGCTGTTTGGTCTTGAGAGTTCGCCTCGCTCCAACATTTGAATACTTACATTGACGTTCAGAGGTCCAGTTCAGGAAATATCTGAAAATAAAATATATCTGAAATAAATGAAAAAACAATGATCGCTACTGAAAATAATGTTACTATTATTATAGAAAAATATTTGCAAATGTAAATAAATGTATTTATTTACATTTGCAAATATTTTTCTTAGATGAACCTATTGAAGAGGAAAATATGTTCAATTCTGTATGAACTTATCAGGGGGTCAGAGGTCATGGCGTGACCGAATCACACAGCGAGACGATATCTTGTCAACATATTTCTGTCACAGTGACACTGGTTTCGGAACTTCTAAGCCGTTAAAGCGATGAAAAAGATAAAATTATTGAAACATATATTTTTTATTAATGGATGATAAATTTAGGGTTCTCGCTCTCTTACATATGTCTTTTAGTTCTTCTATTCTTTAATTGGAATGACAAATACATTTAACATTTAAAATTGTATTGAGATTGGCATGTTTTGTATTATTCGCAACGCCATGCTGTCCCAGTCTGAGGACCAAACGCGCCTCTAATTTTGAAAAGTTCACTAATGGAAATAGCCTAAAATCACGCTTACCTTTTTAACCCGAAATTCCTTTAAAGGTATGTAAACTGAAGACGATAGCACCGCTTTTGACTTCATATATAAAAAAAACTCATACAGTAATAGTAAGATTATTTCCAGTAGCGATCATTGTTTTTCATATGGAGAAATGGTGTGCAATTTATTCATGAGATTGCTTCCACGTCATTTATTTCTCATTAATATTCATAAGATACTGCATATACTCGAAATTCCATTTCTTTAAATTTTTATGTTAAAACCTGCATGCAAGCCTGTTTCGTTTTTTTTTTTTTCTTCAAGCCTCCGTCATAGTTATATAAGTTGAATTTTGTGTGATTAACAGCTGACCACTCAGGATACCGTTTTTTCTGTTATTAAGTAGGTCACACTGATGCACGAAATTGCCGTTTTCAAATTAAAAAGGCGGTCGTAATTCCTTATGAAATGGTAAATCATATGTAATTTATAAAAATAGGCTCTCTCCTGCACTTCTTAATCGGCGGAAGAACTCTGTCAACTTGCAATAAACACTTACATTTCATCATCAAAAATGATAAAAACACCAATTCTGTACTCTTTCCTTCATTAAAACGATATACTCTCGCTTCGAATTTTCAAATCAAAAAGGCGGTCGCAACTTTCATTTTAGTATCTACAATCTTGTCATTTCCGGTAGAAGATATTAAGAAGAATCAAACCATCGGCGGAAGAACTTTATCCGAAATAGTTAGGATATAAAAAAAATTGCGATATTTTGTACTTTCTCTATATAAACCTTTATGAAATAGGCCGCCATTATAGTTCCAATATGAACGATATGCGAATTGGCAGATTGAACACCATTTCTCCATATGTTCATTATGAACAGATATTTCCTGAACTGGACTGCTGAACGTCAATGTAGGTATTCAAATGTTGCGAACTCTCAAGACAAAACAGCTTACTAGGTCATTGCGCGTCACATCATAGCAATACGGCGGGCCGTTCATGTAATAAATGCAGTTCTATTCAGAATATTCGTCTCAAATGTAAATAAAAGTAATAAACAACAATGTTAAAAAGTCCACTGGGAACTGAACTTGGTTGGTACGTGATCAAATCTTCTGTGAAGCCCTTTGGGTATCACAGGATTTGATCACGTGACCAACCAAGTTCATTTCCCAGAGAACTTTTAAACATTGTTGTTTAATTCTTAAGTGTTCATAGTTTTCAATGCTATTCACAGCTTTGCTAAATGTTTATGTTCTCTTTCAGTAAGACATTATTAGGAAGAACTGTGTCTATTTAAAATCATTACACGATTAATTCTAAAATCAAATAAATTAGAGATGTTAACAAGTATTCGAGTACTCAACTATCGCTAGGTCATATAAAGTTTTTTGTCTTCATCTCGCGAATTGGTGTCAAAGCCCACAATTCAACTGAGCTATCCGAATCAAAATGACATTCTTAAAATAAACTGAACCTTTAAAAAGTTGGATAATCAATACAAATTTTATTGCACAAAGTAGACACCCGTATAACGGTCATGGGACTATGACGTCACTATTCGGAAAATTCACATGATTTGTTCATTAACTTCCTTATTCTCATTTTGGCTATGTTCTTCTGGCGATTCTTTGGTTGTTCGAACACTCTTTAATCACAAATGGAACTCGTCGGGAAAATTCTGATTTTGTTATTTCCCAATCTATAAAAAAAAGTACAAAATGCCTTACTAGACCAATCACATTAATACGTATTATTATATATCTTAAATCTCAATCATTTAATTTATTTTTATTAAAATAATTGAAAACTAATATCCACCATCGCACGTGAAATTTAATTAGCCATGTAAAAGAAAATTGCATTAACCATGAAAAAGAAATGTTATTAATTATGTAAAAAAAAAAAAAAAAGAAAAGAAAGAAAGAAGGGCAAAAAAAGAAAGCAATTCAATACCTTTATTGGCATCTAGATCGTTGAATAATTGTGTGCCAAGTTCCGGATTTTCAAAAAGCTCGGTCATTTCATCCATTGTAATGACGTCATCATCATTACTATTATAAACATGGAACCGACAAGGATTGGCCAGAATTACAATGTCATATCTTCTAGGAATCTTTTGAAAATGGAAAAAAACACATGAAATTTCAAAGAAAACAGAATTTTGGGTTTTTTGAAATATCTATAATTTTTTTTTTATCTCTTTAAAATAGATAAGCATACAAATTAAAGCAGTGATATATAAAGATGAATTTAACATATATAGAAGATTTAGAGGAAATGATGATGTTTATCTCTTTTTTCAACGTGATAAATGCTATTTCAGTGGTACATTTTCTCATTGGTGCACTTAGGCTTTAAAAAATCTTGTTAAATTAAAGTGTAAATATTTTAAGAAAAAAAAATTAACGCAACAAGCTCATTTTCTCATTATTGTGTTACTTGTCATTGTTTCAATAGTTATTTGTCTCATAGAGAAGTATATATAATGCAAGCTCGATTTCTGACTAAAATGTGGTGCAAAAGTTCAAGCAATCCTTTGAGACTTTGGGAAAAAAACACCACATGAATTTTCAAGAGTTTATGAGTTGATGAGAAAATATTTATAAAATAATATTTTTTAATCTCTCAAAAAATCTGAAATCGCACCCATTGAAAACTATCTAATAATAATCATTTATACCAGTGGGAGTTATCTATTTTATCAGAAGATAAGTTAACCTTAAACACTCTTTGTTAACAATAGTGTACTTACTTCAACAGTTGACCTTTTGAACTTTATTCCTACGCTAACACCGGCTTTCCAACCACCGGCAAAGTCTGTAGAACCAAATCCTTTGAAATTCCAGTTTCCGACTTTTCGTCCGACGGTAAGTTTCAGTTCCGGTCCCTTACTTCCGGTTCCCAGTCCGAGATTTGCAGACCAAGGTTGAGCGTGAATAAATGACACCAGAGTCGTAAGAGCGAAGAAGTAAACAGTAACCTAGAAAAGTAAATGCTTTAAGTTTTATCTTTCAATATAATAACACACAATTACTTTTTTTTACATTATTTAATACCAGAATTTTACTATTCTAGTAAACTGGTTTTCATCTGTTACCCATTCTTTTATTGTTGCACATCTATCTCTCTAAACTAAAACTAATATATTTCAAAAATATATACTGAATTTTAAATATTAAACTTGCACTAAATATTAGTATAAAGTATATGTATACGGTTTCTTACCTCCATTTCAGCTCAAAGTCCTGATCCTTAGAATTTTTAGAAATAAAAGACATACTGAAAACATAAAACACAGGAGTTTATATACTTAAGCAAAACTAGGTGCGTTGTTTTTTACAAAAAATAATTATGGAATTCCCATTAATAGCCTTGACGTGAGAATAAATTCTTAATTAACCAAAATGCTCTTGACGTTTGACATACATGTTTACATCATGCATGGTTACACAAAGAGGACGAAGCAAAGGGAAATCCCTAAATTTGGAACAAACCTTTATTTATCGTCATTTGAAGGAAAAGGTTTCCTCGGTGTACTTTGCATAGTATGACAGACCTAAGGTCAGTAAAACTTAATTAAATCAAAGATGAATCATATGAAAGAAAAAATTATTTTCACGATTTTAGTTTTTAAGTTGTCATTTTTTTTTTTTTTTTTATCGTTTGATTACTTTAGGTTCCGTTTGAGATTTTTTTACTCATAGCAGTTGCCGGTGGAGGAGTGTAAATTTAGATTTGTTTGTTTGTTTGTATGTTGTTTAACGTCCCTCTCGAGAATTTTTCACTCATATGGAGACGCCACCACTTGCAGGTGGAGAGCTGCAAATTTTGTCCTATACTCGGCACTTACGGCCATTGAGCATTGAGGGATCTTTTTCGTGCCAGCGCCTACTGCGACACGGGACCTCGGTTTATACAGTCTCATCCGAAGGACCGGTCTCCACGTCCCACAGTGGGATTCGAACCCGCGACGTAAGGATCAACTCCTTACTTCGCGACTCTAGAGCAGACGCTCTAACCACTGCGCCACGCGGGCGACTAAATTTAGATTTGTACTCAGCACTTATCACCTGTATTGTCATTGAGCAGAGAGGGATCTTTTATGTTCCAGCAGCTATTGATACATGCGGGACTTCATGCAGTTTATATATGTCATCGTGAATTTAAACCCGCGATGTAAGGATCAATTCATAGGTCACGACTCTTAGAACGATACGCTCTAATTCGAGGGTATATCAAAAAGTTCGTGGACTATAGTTAGCGCCATAAAATTAAAACCGCTCAAGGTACACTACGATTTTTACACATTCATTCAACATTATCTTTTCTGGCTAATTTGTTTGTTTGTATGTTGTTTAACGTCCCTCTCGAGAATTTTTCACTCATATGGAGACGCCACCACTTGCCGGTGGAGAGATGCAAATTTTGTCCTATACTCGGCACTTACGGCCATTGAGCAGTGAGGGATCTTTTTCGTGCCAATACCTATTGCGACACGGGACCTCGGTTTATACGGTCTCATCCGAAGAACCGGTATCCACGTCCCACAGTGGGATTCGAACCCGCGACGTATGGATCAACTCCTTACTTCGCGACTCTAGAGCAGACGCTCTAACCACTGCGCCACGAGGGCAACTTTTTTGGCTAATAAACTATAAGACATGCGGATTATCTAAAAAGAATTTTCGAAGTTTTGATAAATATTGGTATGACCACGCGGCGCAACCTCAAAATGCGACTTATTTCTGCATTTGTCCAGTTTTCACTCGTGTGATGTAACATAACTGTAAAGTAAAATTGTAATTTTCTACCTTATTTAGTCAGCTTAATGAGGTTGTATCGTAAATTCATTAGAAAGTGCTGAAAAAATCGTGTCCTTTTGTCGCAATCAATAGTTTTTCGCTGCAAATAAACTCGCATAGACAAAATAAGTACAAAATAAAAGATTTGGGGAGAAAAGACACATATCAATGCCAAGTGGTTGCCCGTATGCCAAAACGAAAACACGTCACGTCGAAAAGTAATATTGTGCGGTAAAAATGACAAAGATCTTTTTTTTCTTTTTTTTTAATTTTGTTGTTGTTGTTGTTGTTTTGTCTTTTGTGTGTGTGTGTGTGTTTTGAAATCGAATATTTATGAAATTAAACGTTTAAGTCATATACACAATATAGGTTTCAGTCAGTATTTTACATTCAGTCTATGTTGTCAAGAAATGTATACAGGGGCAAATGTAATGGACATTGAGAAGCAATGACGTTGTCATAAAACTAAATAACTGCGACAGTGTGGTTATAGTGTCATTTGTATTTAACGATAAATTGGCAAATTATCAATGTGTATATCAAGCGAATATTTTCAACACTTCTAAAACGTTTGATTTATGTACCTTAAAATTATAAATTTGTAAGCACAGCCTTCATACTAGTATTAATTTTATCCTATCAGTCCGCGAAGTTTTTGATAACCCCTCGTAAATACGTCATATGAATTCTAATTAAAGTTTAACACATTTAAACTTAGTAATAATGATAAATGTTTTAAAATATGCATGCAAAACAGTGAAATTTCTCGATGATGCACATATAATGATTATGTTGCATTCTGTATATAAAGGTCATTTGTTTTACAACGCCTTCTCCAAGAAAAGGGATATTTGTTTTTAGCGGCATTATTTTAATCTTAACCTTCATCTTTCCCCTCCAAACCACGAAAAAAAGATTTATCATTCCTCTCTTAAGAATGAAATGGGTTTCAAATTCCCAATCAAGAAATAAGATTTACCTTCCCTTCCGAACCAAGAAATAGGATTTACTTTTCCACTCCAAACCAAAAAAAAAAAAAAAGATTTATCTTCATAGTTTCCCTTCCGAACCAAGGAATAGGATTTACTTTTCCACTCCCAACCAAAAAAATAGGATTCATCTTAAACGTTTCCCTTCCAAACCAAGAATTGGGAATTATCTTAATAGTTTCCCTTCCAAACCAAGAATTATTATTTAACTTTCCCTCCCAAACCAAGAAATAGGATATATCTTAATAGTTTCCCTTTCAAGTCAAGCAATAGGATTTACTTTTCCACTCCAAATAAAAAAATATGATTTAGTCCTCCCTAACTGACCACAAAATAAGATAAACAAAATAGGATTTTTCTTTCCCCTCCTAACCAAAAATATTATTTACCCTTCATCACTTCTATAAATGCCGTTTTATAAGAGGACTTTAAATTACAAGAGGCCCAAGGGCCTTGAATCGCTCTTCTGATAAACTGTACAACCTATCACTTCTATTTGAAGCCTCTAAGTATCCTGTATATTTAGATAAACCCTTGAAATTCCAATTCACACTCTGAGAACCCAAGATGAATCTAAGCCAATTAGTACCTGAGAGTTGGTCATGGTGACCTACTTATCACTTGTCATTCTCTGAGGACCTATCAACTAAGTTTGATGATTCTAAGCCAATTAGTACCTAAAATGTTTTTTTTGTTAAATTATAACCATAAAATTCTATAAGTAGGTCAAAGTGACCTACTTTTCAGTTGTTGTACTCCAAGAACCCAAGATGCACCAACTGACAAAGTTTGATGATTCTAAGCCAATTAGTACCTGAAATATTTAATTAAAGCCATAAATTTTCAAAATTAGGTCACGGTGACCTACTTTTCAGTTGACCTACTCCAAAGACCCAAGATGCATCAACTGACAAAGTTTCATTATTCTAAGCCAATTAGTACCCAAAATATTTAATTAAAGTCATAAATTTTCAAAAGTAGGTCAAGGTGACCTACTTTTCAGTCAACCTACTCTGAGGACCCAAGATGCATCAACTGACACATTTGATGATTCTAAGCTAAATAGTACCCGAAAATATTAAATACAGCCATAAAATTTCAAAAGTAGGTCTCCGTGACCTACTTTTCAGTTGTCGTACTCTACGGACCCAAGATGCATCAACTGACAAAGTTTGATGATTCTAAGCCAATAATTACCTGAAATATTTAATTAAAGCCATAAATTTTCAAAAGTAGGTCATGGTGACCTACTTTTCAGTTGTTGTACTCTGAGGACCCAAGATGCATCAACTGACAAAGTCCGATGATTCTAAGCCAATAAGTACCTGAAAATATTTAATTAAAGCCATAAATTTTCAAAAGTAGGTCACGGTAACCTACTTTTCAGTCGACCTACTCCCAAGACCCAAAATGCATTGACTGACAAAGTTTGATGATTCTAGGCCAATAAGTACCTGAAATATTTAATTAAAGCCATAAATTTTCAAAAGTAGGTCAAGGTGACCTTCTTTTCAGTTGACCTACTCCAAAGACCCAAGATGCATCAACTGACAAAGTTTGATGATTCTAAGCAAATTTGTACCTGAAATATTTAATTATAGTCATATAAATTGAAAAGTAGGTCACGGTGACCTACTTTTCAATTGATGTTTTTTGAGGACCCAAGATGCATCAACTTACAAAGTTTTATGATCATAGGCCTCAAAATGTCTAAATTATGCCTCTAAAACGCTTTGAAATCGAATGCCTGCAAAGTTCAAAAAGTATGTCACTGTGACCTACTTTTTAATAAGTATGTTTTATGGCCCCCAGATGCATCATCTTACAAGATTTAATGATTCTAAACCTCTCAGTATTCGAAGTAATGGCCTTAATTGTTTTGAAAAAGATAAGCCATAAAATTCAAAAAGTAGGTCAAGGTGACCTACTTTTTGGTTGACATACTTCGAGAACCCAATATACATCAACTGACAAAGTTTGATGATCATAGGCCTTTTATTGTTCAAAATATGCCTCTAAATCATTTTGAAAAAGAATGGCTGCAAAATTTAAAAAGTAGGTCACCGTGACCTACTTTTGAGTCAAAATGATATGAGGTCCTTAGATGCATCAACTGACAAGATTTGATGATCCTAGTCCTTATAGTAAGCAAAATATCAACATTTTAATAAAATGTAATTTTTGGTCAACTTTGAAGTGACCTTGAGACCACGCCCTTTGCCCCGGGGTAAATCCCCGTGCAAATTTTAATCTACAACATATCCTCATCCTTTTGTGTAAGTTTGGTGATAATCTGCCCAGTGGTTCTTGAGAAGAAGATTTTTTAGCAACCAGTACTTTTGTTTCTATTTTCCTTATTATCTCCCCTTGTTTAAGGGCCACAACCCTAGTTTTAGTATAAATGGGAGCCCTTAGGCCAAGGATACCCTGTGACAAATTTGACAATAATTGGCCAAGGGGTTCTTGAGTTATGGCCCATATTCTAAAAAGTTTACGCACACCGCACGCCGCAAACCGCACAAATGGCCATAGCATTAGCTCTTTGAGCCTTTGGCTCAGAAGAGCTAAAAAACGATGTCGACCACCAACCCCAGTAATGTCGGCACATGTATAAGAATGACACAAAAATATAAATCAGATAATTACATGTTTTACCCGCACTGAATAAAAAAATTAACACTCAGTCTCCAAATATATATAACGAGAAAAAATGCTGACTTATCAGATAAATCAAGAATTCCGTTATCTCGGCATATCATACTGGTGTATGACATGCACATCTAAGGACGCAAATTGCTTACCAAAACTTTTTCTCTCTCTACATCATTGTACTTACATATGTATCTACGTGCCATAGACTTGGTCAGGTTCGTCTCGGCACTTATGGTTGCCGGTGACAATATGTACCTATGGAAGACAGTATGTGCAATGTGGTTAGATACGTTCTGACACCGGTGACAATACATGTATGTACAGAGCGACCATATGAACCGTCACAAGTCCTCTCTGAGCCAGGATTTACCTTTCTCCTCCTATAACCACGAAACAGAATTTACTTTTTCCCTCCTATAACCACGAAATAGGATTTACATTTCCCATCCTAACCCTGAAATAGCATTTACTTTTCCCCTCCCAGCCAGAAAATATTAATTTTACCACTCCTCTATTGACCACGAAATAAGAAACACTTCTCCCCTCCAAGTCACCACACGAAATAGGATTTACATTTTCACTCCCAACCACAAAATTGTATTTACCCTTTCCTACCAAACTACGAAAGAGAATTCAACAAAATAAGATTTAAACTTCGCATCCCATGTAGAAATAAGCCTTCCCTTCTTGACCATGCAAGAAATAGGATTGAACTTTCCCATCTCAAATTCGAGATTGCCCAAACATGAAAATCCTATTGTTTGTGTGTGTGTGTGTGTGTGGGGGGGGGGGGGGGGGGGGGGTTGTAGGGAGAAAAATACCGAATTTCAATTTCCTGAGTCATTTTTCTTCACATAGATGACTCTCCTTACCGTTTTAAAGGAGTGTGTGTGTTTCTGGAGATGGGGTGGTGACAAGGTTTTTTTTTCTTTTCTTTTACATAGAAAATCTATAACTGAAAATTCCTAGGGGGAGGGTCTGGCCATATTGTGTGTAATAATCTGCCTAACTGCAGCACAACCTAGAACACATTCCCTGGTTCCATCCCCTCCCCCCACCTCACTCCCTCTTCTAAGCATAGTGAAAAATGAACATATATGCAAAATAAAATTATTTAATGGAAACATCACTCACTTAGATATGAAACAAACAGCACATCAACTTACATATTTCTAAACAACATACATCTAATAATTCTATCTTTTGTATCCAAAATTGACAAAAACTGTGTACAAGGTTTTGAGCATCCATGAATCCTCATCTAGAAATACAATAATTCTAATGCGAGGATTAAAATAAAATGCACTCTTTTATAACAGTTTTACATGTTATTACTTTCATTTTCTACACAACATTGTCTATTTTTATTTTCAATGCCAATAAGTCTCTTTACCATAGCACTGTCCACAAATCACAGTTTCTCCCTTAAAGTGTTGTTAAGTTACATACACACATGTATACATGTATTACTTCATGACAAATTAAGGAACATGAACTTTTTTTTTAATTTTAACATGCACACAGGTCATGTTTGATAAGAATTCAACAAATGTGTTGTTTAAATGAATATGACCAAAAAAGCCAAAGATATATGTTTTATTGCTGATGAAACACTAATGGTTGGAAGGGGCACACCTGAATAAGAAAATTAATGCAATTTGAAGCAGACTTGAATGATATGTACCTTTATAGGCCATTGAGCAGACAATGTATGCCAAATATGATATAATTACCCTTTTTTGTCAATTATATTTTCTTTGCTTGTCAGGAATTTTTTTTTTATCTAATCCCCTTGAAATTTTGGATCCACCCCTGACTACTAGCATTTATAAAAATTGAAATTGGTTGAACTGTTAAACTAGGTCCAAACACACTGTAGTTAAAAGGTGAATCATACATTCATTTCACTAAATACAAAAACACATTTTTTAAAAAAAAACAGATTTTCTTTGTATCTTGTATACACAGTATACATTATAGTATGCAATGAGTTGGTAATACCCCTCTTTTCCAAGAGAAATGGAAAAAGTGCTGGAGCCACCCTTGAATTTAATTACTAAATTACAGATGTGCATTTTACAATGTATATGCCTGTGTTATTTACGGAGTCAATGAAAAATATTTCACTGAATATACATGTAGAGACATCAGCAATCAAAGAGCAATGCATATTATTCTGGAGCATGCATCACACTGTCCACTGGAAAATATTTTAAATGATTTCCTTTTTTTTTTAAAAGAAAGCCTAAATTTATGGGTGGATCAAAAAGTTTCATGGATAATTAAAATAACTGTGCATGTCATTCAGTAAATTTGCTAACTATTACCCCCCCCCCCCCCCCCCCTTTGTGCGTTGTGTCATATCTATCTTTGTACTTCGTGTTTTTCAAAACACTATAACTTAAAGCGAAATGGAAATTGCTATTCATTTATTTTTGTTCTTTATTATGATTATTAATGTTTAAATATGTAATATAATGTATAGGTTCAACCTTGTTTTGGCCCACCTTTAGTCCAACTATGTTTTAGTCCGACTTATCTAACACAACAGGAGATTGTGGTTTTGAGTATTTTGAATTTAATTAGATGATGTGGCAAAGTAGTTCCCTCCCAGTCTACTAGTATTAAAGCAGAAAAAATTGAGTCCATAATTATTACATAGAAGTATATATAACCCAGAAATGTAACTAAATTGAATAATGGGGGGGATTCAAAGAAGCTATAAAGATGAATTGCAAAACATCCTCTGTAAAATGGGACTTAGTTCACACAATCCAAAATCATGCTAATAACAGAATATAGCGAATATAGATTGACTAAGACATATAAAAACAACCACTATAGCATTATCAGGACTAGTTTGTTCTTAATTGTGGAAAAAAAAATCTGTGTAAACATGCAATGATCAATATCTGAAAGCTAGGGAGGTAAAAATATAAACAAACCTAAGGTTTCACTCACATGCACATTTCTCTTAACATTTTCAAACATCTACACTTACTTACCTGTACACTTGAGCCAATTTTTATTTTTATAAAAAGATTTTTTTGTTCTTGTTTACCACTAATTGCAATTTCTATGTAAAATATAATTTTGCTTATCACAAAAAGCAAATGACTGCTCCGTAAGAACTCATTTTCATCAAAATCTAAAGAAACTCAACTCCTACACCAAAAACCATGATTTTTTTTACTGTACACATCTTTCAGTTTTTACATGTGTATCATTAGATTATTAAAGATTGTCAATTTTGAGGGACTTCAAAAATTACGGGGAAAAAACTTCTGTAAAAAAAATTCTTGAACACAATTTGTTTGAAAAAATATCAAATTTCACATATGAATGACATACACTGTTATGCAGTTACAAGTTCCATGTAAGAAACTCGGAAATAAGTCAGATTAATGTTTTGTTACATGTAATGATTCATTTATACATGTACTAGATATTAAAGCAAACTAAAACTTAACTGTCAAATGTATAACGTAATATCTTACTTGTCTATGAATTACTATAAAAATTTCTATAAACTTAATAATGTGTTGACATACAAACAGAACACAAACAATGCCTTTACACTTTCAACATTTAGAAAGAAAAACTCTGAAATAGTATGATGCATATTGAAAATCAGAAAATTAAAAAAATATTTTCTGACTATAAACTACCTATAACTTACCAAACACCTAACACTCATAAATTTTGGCTTCGTCTCACACAACATATCACATTTCATATAAATATTTTAAATCTACATTTCATAACAGGTACGCAAGAAATCAAAATGACTATAATTTCTTGAAAATATCTAAATGCCGCTTTCTATAATTACGTCCCATCTTCATCATCAACGTGAAAGTAGGTGAAGCTCCTAAGATAATGGAGAGAGATATCGTAAACCGTGAAGCTGGTGCCGACGGCGATGGGACCCTTGATCCAATTCATGCTCAGTCCCTTATACAGGCCTCTCCAACTCTCCGTTCTCCAGACTAAACAAACTGTCTGATAGATAGAGGTGTACTCATGACTGGTACCTGTCACACCTGTAAACCAGATAAAATTAACATAATTAATTAGTAATTAAAACGCTGTCTGATAGAGGTGTACTCTTGACTGGTACCCATCACACCTGTAACACAAGTAAATTAATTAGTAATTAGCATTGATTGTAAAATCATTTTCATCACTTTTTCAACCAGAAGTCTCTGATGAGACTGTAGCTCTACTGGTTTGTACTTATAAAAAAGAAAAGTAGCACTTGGACTTGAAACTTTGCAACAGCAATAAATAAAGTAATGATCCTTGGTTTAGTCTCTTTTTGTAGCAAAATTTATTGCAATCAGACAAAAACTGTAGGAAGAGTAACTTTTTAAAAGATTTTTTCAGAAATTTTAATTTTAGTAACCATGGCAACATCATTCATCAAAATAAAAAAAAACTGATAAAGACAATTATGTATCTCAGTGTAGTCTATTTGCATGCCACGTTACATTGAAATTAAAGCAAAACTATAGAAGGAATAGCATTTTGAATGCATTTCACAGAAATTTCTATTTTTAGTAACCAAGGCGACATCGTTCATCAAAATCAAAAACCGATGAACTATATAATTTATCTTAGTGTAGTCTACTTGTGTGCCAAGTTATACTGAAATCAAACCAAAACTGTAGGAGGAGTAGCATTTTAATGGAATTCCACAGAAACCATTGCAACACCAAAACTGAGGCCATCATTAAAAATATCTGTGTTTCCCCTAACCCAACCCAAAAATCTCAAGTTGGGTAGGTAGGTAGGCAAATAATTTTTTTTTGACAGCAGCTTTGAAAGTACATTCTTGAAATTGAATGGAATGATACCTTAAAAAGAAAGCGATTTGTAAACAGCCAGAATACCATACAAATGCTGTTTAGACTCAACACTTAAGGTAAATTTATTCACAGCTATTATTCAATCAAACTTGTGAAATATCTCATACCATAGTAAATTTTTTGAAATTGAATACATCTGTTTAAAAGATTCTCGGGTACGCAAGGACTGGACATCAGAATATATAATTATGTAGTTTTTCAGGGCTTCAAAATATGCAGTGGTTCTAGAGCATTTCGTTTTGGAGTCTCGAAGTAAGGAGCTATTTCTCTAAGTTGCAGGTTTAAATCCATGCGGGACGTTGAGACCTGTTCTTCAAATGAAACCAAAAAAATTGGGTTCAATGTCGCAGTAGATACTGGCACAAAAAAAGATCCCTCACAGCTCAATGGCCTAAAGTGCCGCGTACAGCTCTGAATTTGGAGCCCTTCACTAGACAAATGTTTAAATAAATGTTGTTGTCCCAATAATTATCAAAGGAATTCAAATCAAAGGAACAACCAATCTTCAAAGGCCTTGAAGAAAAATACATGGACGCCTCAGAGAGCTTTTATCATAATATCATATCTATTTGGAAAAAGTATGTTAACAATATTAAATTGAAACAAAACATATCTAAAAATGGTAAAATGTCATAAACAATGTCAAAGTCATTTAGTTTAACCCATGAATAAACGGCATCGAGAAAAGACGTTTGAATTCTATACATTAGGATGAAATATGCAGACATAATTACAATTCCTTTTGTCTCATATTGTAAATATAGGAATATTGATGAACTGTTCATAAGATCAAAGCTCAAATTAAATAAAACGCAGTAAAATTGATTGGTGTGTTCACAAGGTGGGCCCCTTGTCTGCTCATGAGGGGTATCAAGTAGAGGGCCTACGGGTCTAAGCATTCTCTCTATACGTACCTTAATTTTAAGACAGGTAAGTAAATACAACCAAAACACTCTTAATAGGTCAATGTATATTATACTTTATTAACAAAGTGTTTCAAGAGTGTAGGATTCTTATATGCTAAAGGCATAAGGTTGATACGTCGCCTTCTTTTAAAACACGAACTAACCCTCTGTGACCACATATTGTGGGCCCCATCTTGTTTCCAACAAACGCTTAATAATCACAGAATAAAATCAGTCGTTCTGATAAAAACAGATTTTTATGGAATTCTATTTAATAAAAGTTGATAAACCTAAAAAAAAATATTGGAATATCTTATGAAAAAAAACTTTCCAGTCAGCACGTTTCAAATGGATTGGTCGCGTTAGGGGAAACAAAGGTATTTTTTATTTTGGCCTGATAGATACGTATCTTAGTGTATTTTACTTGTGTGTCAACTTATACTGAAATCAAACCAAAACTGTAGAAGGAGTAGCGTTTTAAAGAAATTTCTATTTTTAGTGACCATGGCAACACTGTTCAACAAAATCAAAAACTGATGCACTTTGTTATGTATCTTAGTGTAGTCTACCTGTGTGCCAAGTTATAATGAAATCAGACCAAAACTGTAAAAGGAGTAGCGTTTTGAAAAATTGTTTGCAAACAAACGGACAGACAGCTAGACGGACAGACAACGGACACCTTATCGCATAAGCTCTTCTGGTCTCTAACCAGTAGAGCTAAAAAAAGGAGGGCTTTAAAAAGCTTTAAATGCTTTAATCAATTATTTAACAGAATAACAAATTTCACAAGAATTTCAACCAGCTAAAGTTTTTAGTCTTAGATGTAAGTCTTTTGTAAAACAGGTCCCAGTAACTTGATCTCCTCTCACCTGCTGTTTGCATCCTCCTTCTCACAATGTCTAGAGGGTAGGAAGCAGACTGTCCTATCAAGCCTGCCACCGCCCCAAAGCTCATCCTCTCTATAGGGTTAGGATCTCGACCATCACGGTAACCTTTAATATGTAAGGAAGCAGACTTTACATAATTCCTTAAAATAAACTTACTCATCCCACAAATGAAATGAAAAAAGATGAAAATGCTTAATTGTTGTAAAATCATACCAGCATGCCATTTCTTCAGAGTTTCATATGTGAAGAAACTGGCCCCTGAGTAAGGAATGGACCCCAGCACTGTGGGGGTAAAGCCTCTGTAGAGTGTAGCAACACCCTCAGCCTTCACTATGTGTCTGAATACTGACCAGAGGTTGCTGTATCTAAAAAAAAACATTAAAGATCTCTGACCTTTCAATCAATACAGAAACATTTAAAAAAAACAATTACTACATATTTTTCTCTTTTTCTTTGAATAGATTAAACTGCATGATCATTATCACATAACATGAATTTCTATGCTACCACAAACCCATGAGAACATCCATAGATCTATACATGTATATTTAAGAAGAAATTTACTTGCCCTCTCCTAGATAATTCAAACCCACATAAGTACTTACTATTGAATTCTCATAGAACAAATCATCGATATAAACTATAAAATTCCCTTAGATTTGACAGAGACTTATTTAGACTTGAAAGAGACTTACTGAGACTTGACAGAGACTTGCTGAGACTTGATAGTAACTTACTGAGACTTAACAGTGACTTACAGAGACTTTACAGTGACATGCATAAGACTTGACATAGACTTACTGAGACTTAACAGTAACAGCCATTCTAGCCCTCATCAGGTCGAGGGGATACGTAAGTGAGGAGGAGGTAACTCCAGCTAGAGACCCCGCCAGGAACCGCAGGTGTGGAGGAAGATGTCTGAAAAAAAGAAAGCAGCCACTTAATATTCATCTATTTCCAGAGAAAATGCATTAACAATTTGAAATACTTTTTAGCTAATTCACATCACAGCATTTGACCTTTTCACCTTCACCTAACATTGTCTTAACCTTGCTCAGCATCAATTATACTGTTCATGAGAAGCATGTTATATATACTCACTGTTTCCATCTGTACCAACTCAGCAATAATGATACTGCACATTAGAAGTGCATTATATATATTATATAGACTTACTGTTTTCACATGTCCCTGTTCAACATTAATTATACTGCTCAAAAGAAGATTATATTGACTTACTGTTTCCGCTTGTCCCTGCTCAGCAGTCTTTTATACTGCTCATGAGAAGCATACTGTATGGAAGCATAAGGGATGATTCTGACCATGGTAGCAGAGTTCCCCCTCCACAGTTTAGTGAACCCCTCCTTCTTCACTGTATCTATCAGGAAAAGGATGGCTCCCCTGAAGGAAAACTGCTTATGGGAGACTAAAAGGAAATCAACAAAAGTACAGTTAAACCTTGTTAACGCCAAGATATCTGAGGACTTGAGATCATGGAGATATGAGGTTAAAATACATGAAAAAGTGTTTAGGACTACAAATTCGTTTTTGACATTTCCATGGTATTGGGGATATTAATGTTTCAGGTATATACAAAAGTTCAACTGTATATCAAATTCTGTACCCTCTTAATGAAAAATTGGGTTTGATGAATACTGTGTGATTGTTTTTTAAGAAATCTTAAATAATGTTTGAATTTTTAAGAAAATGGAAATATTTCTTCCCCATACTATTAACGATTAATGAGATTTTTAGCCAATTAATTTTCTGAAGAAAAAGCGTCATTTAGCAAAGTTAGCAAATATGCACAGGTAATTGATGATACATTGATGATACATTCATAACATCGTATCACCTGTACTTTGTATCAGTTTCTCTCAGGGTTCGAAATTCACTATATACAACTCGCAAAACTCGAGTTAGAATTCCCAAATTGTGAGTTAAACTGTCTTTTCAAAAACCTGCGAGTTGATTTTTTTTGCATTGAAACTGTAGCACAATTATATAATATGACAGAACACAATGCTTTTGATTTAAATCAGTAATTTAAATAAAAGTAACACTGTAGTTGTATTTTGTGTATTGTACAGTAGTTACTTTTTCCTTAAGTTACATGTATTTAATTTATATAAATTTAACTTTATATGAAAATTGCAAGTAGTCTTATAAAATTGCGAGTTCACTTTCTTGGTACTCACAATTATTTGCAAGTTGGAATTTTAGGGAGTTTCTAACCCTGTCTCTGAAATACAAATCATCTCTCTTAGTAAAATTTTATGTATCCTTGACATGCTGAATTTTGAGTTTTAGATACCAGTACTAGAGGTTGGTCTGTGTTTTGTGAGATTAATGTATCTACATATGTTTTACATGTAGTGATGTACGTACTTTGAAAGTTAATCTTTGTCCTGTCTAGTGGGGCTATCACTGTCTTTGCCACAGCTCCCGCCATTGCTCCTGCTATCAGGGAGGTGATGATCTTACTGTGGTTTGATACCTGTGTAAAACAGTTAAAGCTTAATCTATATATATATTCAAATACAAGATACGTGTATCATTATCTTTTTTCCCAATGAGTACAATAATGTTATTATCAGATAAAGGACATTTAAGCATTAAATGCCTTGTGTATTTTACTGGATCATGAAATGCAAAGGGTTTACTAGGAAAAAGTACTTATATTAAAAGTAAATATTTGTCAAAATTTATCAAAAAATATCATTATGCTCAAGCAATATGGACTGGTTGAAAAAAATTAGATTAACTATTTATTTGAATAACATTAGACCAAACAAAAAAATATGTGTGGTTCCGGTTACACTTAAAAAAAAATTAGGGTAGGTAGGTAGGGGTTTTTTTGTTTTTTTTTTTTTTTTTGTTTTTTGTTTTTTTTAACAAAAAGATTTTCTTAATTTTTTCTAAATAATACCTATCACTGATTTGCAAATGGCATTTAGATGTGGTGTGATAATATACTAGTCAATATTGGTAGGGGACACCTACATGCTAGCTTGCTTTGGATTTAACACTATTAAACACTTGCACTATGTTTTGCAAGGAGGCGTCATTGCTGAAACTAAAACTTAAACTGGAGCCATTGATGGAAATCGGGGGAAATTCCGGAAAAAATATGAAAATTGCCAAAAAAAAAGTTTAGGGTCGGGGGTATAAAATAGGGAAGGTCGGGTAACCGGAACCACACATATTTTTTTATTTGGCCTTACTTCTTGGCCACAGATTAAAGCTGCCATTATGATTTAAAACTCACTTTCAAATTAATTTCATGCTCTCTATGCATTATCTCCTCTTCATTGTTCTCACACTCTGCCATTTTGGCCTGAATATCTCTCATGGATGCCCCCCGCATGGCTATTTCTGGAATTATTTGGTCAGCCTTTTCTCTCTTCATTGTCTCTTGATTATGCATTGATAAAGTTTTTTTTTCTGTATTAAATACAATGTACAATGCCCTTGATACCTTCCAAGGCTGTTCACACCACTATTAGTCTATTATGTTTTCTATTTTGTTTTCTCTCTACATTTTGCTTATCTGAAATAAAGAAATATAGAAAAATATATTTTTTAAAATATTTATCAAAATAATTTTAAATAAATGTTCAGCACACAAAATAAAAAGTTTCCATCATGCCCCTGTCAATTAACATACACAAATATTTTATAGAATCAAAAAATGTTTTAGAATTAAATACAATGTGCATGATGTGGTTCTGAAATTTATTATCAAAATACAGTGTTGTCCCCTTAGAATTTTGAAAAAGCAGGGAACATCTAAAAAGTAGAAGGGGGTCGGGGTTCTTCCCCTTACAAAAGGTTGAAGGGCAATACCAGAAAAACTTGTGGTTTACATTATTATAGGGGGAAATCAGAAATCCCCCCACCCCACCCTTTAAGGACAACCCTGAAATATTATTAATAAAAAAAATGCAAATGTCTATTAAATTTTAAACAATTTAATAAATTTCAGCAAGGAGATAGCAGGGGGATGGGGGCATTCCATATATATACAATTATTCTCTTCTACAAAATCTTAATGTGGTTTCATAAATTAAAATTAAATACATAATGAACCGATTTCTGTTGTTTTCATGGTTAAGAGCCAGGCTAAGATCGTCAAAATTATGTTTTAACTACAAATTTTACTTATATGATAGAATAGGACAATTAAGGCATGAATTTAAATACCAATCTAATCAATGTTTTTTTGTTTGGTTTTCTTGGTTTTTTTTTTTTTTTTTGATCCCATGAAAATTAATGAAACTGGAGGTATTATACTGTTTATTTTCAGTGCAGACCTACCTTCTACATGAATATTGTATTACATCCCCATACGATGTTCTTCGATAATTTTTTAAAATCTTTTTCTCTCCAGCAAATGATTAAAACAATGCAATGTTTATCTGTACTTCATATTCCTTGTTTACAATCAAGGCTTCATTCATAATAGAATAAGGATATTATACAGTTGTATGCATGTCATATCATCCTAGCTATATGTTACACATGACCATCATCAGTCATAACCTGCTTAGCTTATATAATTTGACAGTGATAAACAAATGTCAAATGTGGAAAAAAACATGTTAATTTTATCATTTGATTTTGCATAGACTAACATGAGGCAAAAGAAATTGTGATAAACATTTATTTTAAGACTAGGCGGCCTAATTTTTTGATGCAGTTCATAACTTATGCAATATCCTGAAGCTTAGGGTAACATGCCCTCCAAACATACACGTTTAGGCCTACCATGTTTACTACGACTCAAGTGTGGCTTCAATTTTCATTTTTTGTTAATGAAAAATTTCAGAAAAAGCCTGCATATTTTTTTTTATTCGTGGAATAGACAATGAGAGGTCAACGTGAGAGGTACGTACTGTCGGCTAACGACCGAAATATTAACCCCCCAACCGTGACCATTAGGCTCTGGAGCCATGTCTCCCTCCCAAACGGACGCAGACGACAATTTTTCTAAAGAATTTCCAACAACAGAAAAAAGTTAATTTCATTAACTTACTTCTTCACTGATATGTCCCATGCAAGTTACACAAGACACAAAAAATCAGGGGTGTTTTCATTCTGTTTACATCACCGATATTGTCCTCTCGACGCAGATGTGTGGATTTTAGAGTTACCTCCCGCAAAATAAACAGTAACGCATAGAATGTTTTGTAGTTTCATAATCTTTTTTCTCCCCTTATATTCTGTGGCGATCAAGGGATTTGGAATAAGAATTATTGACTTGACATTATTTTACCCATTTTTTGTTCCAATACATTTTTTCCTAAAATTTTATAGGACTGCAGAAAAAAAATGTTTACAAAGGGAAGTAATTCACATTCTGATAGCTAAGTCAAAATGGTAAGTGCTGCAGTGTACGCCTATTTTTGCTTGTTCTTTTGTGTTTGAATACGATAAAATTCTTGTGATAAAGTTGCATTTCTTTGTGTTTTCAGGCAAAATTCTTCAGTCAGACGGATATAGATAGTAAGTGTATATCATATTTGTCCCATCTCACCTGAATAAAGTCCATACCTGTTCTCCTTATGACCACGCCCACATTCCTGGAACAAACTCTGTCCTCACTTCATTCCTGTAATTTTTATTTACACACATATTGAAATTGTGTTTGTATTCACTCTAATCCTCTCAAATCTATACTGTTAATGTTCGACATTAATTAATCAGATCCAGCTTTATTAATTTAGATATTCAAAATAGCTTTATATAGCTATTTACTCACAGCTTTTTACAAATATTTTCTTTTTTGACAAGAAAGGAAAAAAGTGTAACTCTGTGACTATTCATATATAATACGGACTATAAAAATAATCCAAATCAAAGATAATTTAGGTATTGCAACTTTTGAACACTCTTAAGCAAAAAATGTACTTGGTATTTCCATTGTTTGGATAACTGTATACAACTTTTTGTTCAGTGAGGCAGAGATAAGTATGCTTCACATTAATTGTGCTTTATTTACATTTGCAAATATTTTTCTTAGATGAACCTATAGAAGAGAAAATATGTTCAATTCTGTATGAACTTATTAGGGGGTCAGAGGTCATGGCGTGACCGAATCACACAGCGAGACGATATCTTGTCTACATATTTCTGTCACAGTGACACTGGTTTCGGAACTTCTGAACCGTCAAAGCGATGAAAAAGATAAAATTATTGAAACATATATTTTTTTTTCGTTCAACAAATGATTGTTAGATCTTTCTTTGGTGTGAAGAATGTTTCTAATTAGCCTAAAATCACGCTTACCTTTTTAACCCGAAATTCCTTTGAAGGTATGTAAACTGAAGACGATATAGCACCGCTTTTGACTTCATATATAAAGAACTAGTACAATAATAGTAAGATTATTCTCAGTAGCGATCATTGTTTTTTCATTACGAACAGTTATTTCCTGAACTGGACGGCTTAACATCCATGTAAATATTCAAATGTTGGAGCGAGGCGAACTCTGAAGAACAAACAGCTTCTAGGTCATTGCGCGTCACAACATAGCAATACGGCGGGCCGTTTGTGTAATAAATGCAGTTCTACTCAGAATATTCGTCTCAAATGTAAATAAAAGTAATAAACAACAATGTTAAAAAGTTCACTGGGAAATGAACTTGGTTGGTACGTGATCAAATCTTCTGAGAAGCCCTTCGGGCTTCACAGGATTTGATCACGTGACCAACCAAGTTCATTTCCCAGAGAACTTTTTAACATTGTTGTTTATTTCTTAAGAAAATTTACTAATTGATCAAATTACTTTGTTGACTAGATTTGACTCCTTTATAATTTCATTCAAGAGGTAAATTTTAAATCAATTGCTTTTATTAGCTCCTAAAACATTTAGAACTTTGAGTGCAAAGTCTATAATTGAGACACATTTTGGTTATGAGCATGTTTTTTTTTTTTTTTCCAGAACAGTACAAAATTTTATTATATCCCATTATGGGTTATTTTATCCAAATCTGGCTTTTATAACCAATTTTGGCAAACTGGTCATAGCCTTGTTTTGTTAAAAAAATGAATTCATTTTCCTATCTATATTTTTAAATTTTCTGTACTCTAGGAATAAATTTTACAAAAATTGAAAAATTATAATATATATGGTTTTTTATTTTTTTTATTTTTTTTTTTTTGGTGCTAAATTATTTTACATGTATGACAACAATAAGTGTAGTATACACACATCAATGACATGAATATTTGTCCTGAAGTTTTGTTGTATGCTGAAGAAGAATAAAGGCAACTTGCAGGGCTTTTAAAAAGGTTAAAAACAGTTGGCACTTTTACAAAATTAGGAGGTACCTTGTGAAAGTGATTTCAAATATATGTTATAGAATTTTTCTCCAACAAATATTTTGTCTGGTACAATTATAATTTTAGCGAAATAAAAATACCGGGTACTTTTTGAAAACTTTGAACTCGATTTAAATATAGGATTGTTTTGTAGAGTTCAAGGAATGTTTCTTCTTCCATGCCAGGAGGGGTCACATTGCCAATGAACAGGAACTGTCCCTCGTAATGAGGTCCCTGGGGTACAGCCCCACCCCTCAGGAGGTTTCCAAGTACTTTAAGAAGTATACCAAAGGTAAATCAATCTTGACGACCATGTTTGATCATTTTCCTCTTTACTACATTTTACTGTTACAATGAAATTATCCATTTTATGTATATAGTAAAACTTGTGTAATACGTACATCTCTGGTTCGATATAATTGGCCAGATTAGACGAAATTCCAGATTAGGTAATTTAACATTTAACATAATTGAATTTACTGAAAGGGACTTGAAGTGTACATCATATTAGGCAAGATTTTGATCTACAGAACATGGAAATCAGACAAGTTTCCCTGTACTTTGTTTTGTGTTAATGAGCAATTTTACAATTAAATCATGTGCTATGTAAACTGGTGATGGTGTCAATGCAGTTTTGACCAAAATTAGAAGAAAGAACTAGGAGTACATTTTTTAAAAATTTTTCAGACAATAAAATAGAATTTGCTTCCTTCCTTGAGGCGATGCATGATCATACCAGTGTAGAAAATCCTGAGAAAGAATTATTGGATGCTTTCAAGTCACATGACACAGAGAGGCGGGGCTACGTCAATTCTGCAGAGGTTCAACATATCATGATGAACATGGGAGAAAAACTGAGTAGACAGGAAGGTATGTAAATCATACTGGACCTTAACTGAAACCTAAAACTGAGTAGACAGGAAGGTAAATCATACTGGACTTTAACTGAAACCTAAAACTGAGTAGACAGGAAGGTAGGTAAATCATACTGGACCTTAACTGAAACCTAAAACTGAGTAGACAGGAAGGTAGGTAAATCATACTGGACCTTAACTGAAACCTAAAACTGAGTAGACAGGAAGGTAGGTAAATCATACTGAACCTTAACTGAAACCTAAAACTGAGTAGACAGGAAGGTAGGTAAATCATACTGGACCTTAACTGAAACCTAAAACTGAAGAGCTTTGATTTTTGAGAAATTCACAGCTGGCAGATTAAGGCTCTAAGTTAATCTTGCTCTTTGTAAGCCTTTATTGTGGAATAAAGTTGTTAAAAATAACAGTGAGATAAAGATTTTTGTTTAAAAATAATGAAAAAGAAAACTTATGCTGATCTATCCAGTAGCACTGTCTGTAACCTAGATTTAATTAATGATTGTCTGATAATGATATCCAGTGAGGTGTGACTGACTGCTTTAGATTGTAATGCTTCATATATAATATTTTTTTAATTTTTGGCTGTTTTTTTTTTTCCATAAATTTCAAAAAAAGTGAAAGTGTATTAATTCTTTGAAAATCTTCTTCTCTGCTCCAGGGTATTAAATAAAGTAACTAAGTACATAGTTATGACAAGCAAGAGTGCCTCTTCCAAAATTGTGAATTTCATGGTCCTTGGGTCAGGGGTTCTGGTGTGTGTGTGTGGGGGGGGGGGGGGGGGGGATGGCTCTATTGATTATATAGTGAAAATGCATTAATTCTTTGAAAATTTCCTTCTTTGCTCATGGGTATTAAATAAAGTAACTAAGTACATAGTTATGACGAGCAAGAGTGCCTCTTCCAAAATTATGAATTTCATGGTCCCTGTATCAGGGGTTCTGATGTAAGGGCAGGGCTCTATTGATTATATAGTGAAAATGCATTGATTTTTTGAAAATATTCTTCTCTGCTCCTGGGTATTAAATAAACTTACTAAGTACATTAGTTATGAAGAGCAAGAGTGCCTTTTCAAAAATTGTAAATTTCATGGCCCCTGGGTCAGGGGTTCTGGTATTAGGGCGGGCTCTATTGATTATATAGTGAAAATGCATTAATTCTTTGAAAATCTTCTTCTCTGCTCCTGGGTATTAGATAAAATAAATTAGTGCATAGTTATGATGAGCATGGTTGCCTCTTCCAAAATTGTGAATTTCGTGGCCCTTGGGTCAGGGGTTATGGTATAAGGTTGGGGCTCCATTGATTTTATGGTGAAATGCATTAATTCTTTGAAAATCTTCTCTGCTCTTGGGTATTAGATAAACTAACAAAGATCATAGTTATGGTGAGCATGGTTGCCTTTTCAGAAATTGTGAATTTTATGGCCCCTTGGTCAGAGGTTCAGGTCTTCGGGCGGGGCTCTATTGATTATATAGTAAAAATGCATTAATTCTTTGAAAATCTTCTTCTCTGCTCCTGGGTATTAAATAAACTAACTTAGTGCATAGTTATGATGAGCATGGCTGCCTCCTCAGAAATTGTGACTTTCATGGCCCCTAGGTCAAGGTTTCTGCTGTTAGGACGGGGCTCTATTGAGTACATATGAAAAATGCATAAATTCTTTCAAAATCTTCTTCTCTGCTCCTGGGTATTATTCAAACAAAGGAAGTGCATGGTTATGATAAGGAAGACTGCCTTTTCCAAAATGGTGAAATTCATGGCCCCTGGGTTAAAGGGGGGAGGGGGTATGATGAGCAAGGGTGCCTCTTCCAGAATTGTGATTTCATAGCCCCTGGGTCAGATGTTCTGGTGTAAGGGTGGGGCTTTATTTTTTTTTATTATATATTGAAAATGCATTTCTTTAAAAATCTTCTTGGCTTCTGGGCATATATGAGGCAAAAAGAGTAAAGTTTTAATATGCAAAGGTATTTTTACCAGAATTTTGAACACCAGGACCATTTAGTCAAGTGTTCTGGTTCTGGCCAGGGCTCTATTAACTTGTATTCTGCTGAGCAAAGTTATTCCCCTTTGCCATTCACCTTTGATAATTAATCACTGTAAACAATGTATTTGAAAGGTTAATAGAATACAAGAATTATGCAAGAATATTTATTGTATAATACAAAAAGTACTTTTTTATAATTTTAATGATCAGGTAGACTTGGAAATAATAGATGAAAAAAAATGAGACAAAAATAACTCTTCTTAAAATGTTCTTTAAAAACCAAGAGAGGCCAATGTGAGAAGTTATAATATGGGGTTAAAATTTAGACATTTTGTTAATAGTCTGCATGGTAATAGTGATAAATGGGGGACAGATAGATGCTAGACCAGTTATTTTGTTGATGCTAATCATATTATTTTTTCTTGCTTTTGGGCAACAAAGCTTCATTTATCAGTTAATGGATCCTCTAAATTGTTGTATTGTACTCAGGTGACCATTAAGGCCCTTGGGCCTCTTGTTTTAGCTATTGAAGTTAAAATACACAAGGGAAAAGTGGTTAAGACTTTTTACTTCAACATATCCATGGTATTTTAAATATCTCTAAAGTTCAGCTGTAATTTCAACCTGAAGTATATAAGGCCATTCCAACTTATTTTCTTTGTGTATTGTTCACAGATGGAATTGGCTTTAGGGTTTGAAATTATTAAATAAAAAAAAAACTTATTAAAAAATGTATCTTAAATCTTATATATGAATGAACAGAGGGATGATGAACCTTGAATTAATTCTTAGTTAATTTTCGATTAGTTCTTAGTTAATTTTTAATTAATTCTTAGTTTGCCTTGTAAATTAACCCTATTCTGCTTTACTTGCAGTTGATGCCTTGTTCCGAGAGGTTGGAATCCAACATGGAGGACAGATTCGTTACAATGACTTTGTGAAATCATTACTTACCCCAGTTCCTGATTATTGATTTTTTACAGTTAATATCTTGTAAACATGTGTAAAGATCAACTTTTGCTGCATGTACATTACAATGGCTTTTACAGGAACACATGCTCATGTAAAATGTGTCACCAAAGAAAACATATATTAATTTAATGTTCATTACTATACCAGTATACTGTATACATGTATTTTGAATAATTTGTGGGATCCATTAATGGCATTTAACATCTTGTAAAGACTTTTGCTTCGTTACTGTAACAATGGTTTTACAGGTACACATGATCTTGTGAAGACTTTTGCTTCATTATAATGGTTTTACAGGAACACATGCTCTTGTTAAATGATATTTAATTAATGTCGTTCAATGCTACTTCATTAACTGTATATTTTAATTAATTTGGGAGCTCTGGATGGCAGGTTTTTTTTCTTCATTTTATTCTGGTAGTACAGTACATGCAGTATGCAATTTGCAATTTGATACATGTTTCAAAATGAATGCTAAAATATTTGACATTTTGTCATCAAAATAAACGAAATAATACCTAGTACATGTATATTATATATATCATGAATATGTTTTGGTTTTTGGTTTAGGAAATACATGTATTTGCAATTTTTATTTGTTTGAATTATAGGGGGGATTTATTACAGTTTCTAATATATAAAAGCTGTCAGTGCTTTACTAGAGCTGTTTTGTTACTCCTTATAAATTGTATACATGTATTAATATATAAAGATGCATTCCATTCTCTATTTTTGTAATTATTTGGTTTTTGTCTAAAATATTTGGTTGTAAGTTGTATCCATTGTTTTACTTTTATATACTGATATTTTCTAGTAATTACATGTACATGCCGTATTGTCTTTAAAAAGAAATTCCAATGTATTTTTCACAGTTATAAACTTTTATATATCATGTGATTACCTGTATTTGATTTTGATAGTTGGACCATACATGTAGAACTGATATGTACTGCTAGGTTGTGATAAAATAAAAAAATGTTAAGTACAGAGTAAACGAGTTTTATGTACTAAGTAAATTTAATTAAGGTCCATTCCCTGCATATGTCCAAGTCCAGAGCTTCTGATCCAGTCTGCTGAGTCACTCTGCTCTACATATTTTGGAAATTTGTGCCAAGTTTAATATGTTAAAGAAGCTCTAAATAATTTCACTGCTGATTGTAGGAGAGGTTAAATCAGAGTGATCTGCCCTTAGATGTACATGACGTAAGATCAATCATACTTAACATAGAATGAATGGAATGAATGCATATAGTTAAGTATTTTTGATGTTATATTAGACCAAGATAAAGTAAACTAAATAAATAAATTACATGGATTTTCAATCAAAGACATTTTTTGGAACAAATACTTCATGGGTTTTGAAAATTTTACCTGCAGGGGAAATACATTCATGGCAGACAACTATGAAACAAGAATGAATTAGAAAAACTCATCTTTATTTGATATAATTTTATTGGGGTTCTAAAAACATTTCATTCTTAAACCGTCCTTGATGCGGAATTAGACCAAAGCCCCCCCCCCCCCCCCCCATTACTAATTTCTGTAGATTTTACTTTCTGGAATAACAACCCTCTACCTGAGATGTCTAATGTCAAATGAAGGAAACAAGTGCATTGATCCAAACTCCGATCCCGGGCAAATCTATTGGGGAAGAGGGGGCAACTTTCCCAAAGAGAAAAAGAAGCATTACATTACGGTGGAAAATTTTTACAAAACAGTTCATGGCCGTAGGAAACGGGGGGGGGGGTGCCACCCCCCCTCCCCCCCCCCCCCATAATTTTGCCGAAATATAGAATACTATAGAAAACATAGCTGCTACATGCTTGTGTCCCCTCAATGATAATATCTGATGACTTTTTTTTTTTTTTTTTTTTTTTTTTTGTTAAGGAATTTTGGTAGTTCATATAGGTTCATAGTGCCACCCCCCTCCCCCAACTGAAAACGTATGGTTGTGCCCCCTCAAAGTGAAATTGCTTCCTACGGGCCTGCAGCTAGAAAACGTGAAGAGGGGTCGGCTTTTCAATGACAATTTCCATGCTAATTTTACAGCAAAAAAGTATATATTCTCTAGGGGAGAAAGTGGGGAAGAGCACCCCACCTCCGGTCCTCATTGCATGCTTGTACTTTATGGTCAAAACTTTTAAGATACTAATTAAGCTTTGCCTAGTTTGTGCGGTTTTCATTAACAGTTTTCAGTAGCTTTGGAAATTGGGACCATTATCATCTTTGACCTGTTGACGTACCGTGTACATGTATATTTAGAATTCTTGTATTGAAGCAACTTTAATTATATTTTATGGTTTGAGTTTTCCGTCTGCCAGTACCAAGAATAAACTAAGTGAATCAGCTAGTCTTTGGAATTTTCTGGAAAGTTTTATTCCATGACATATCTAAAAATATTTACCCATTTCTTGGTTTTAAATCCAAAAGAAAACATTTAATGAAATATACATGTACATCCTGATTGTATTTCCACAACATATATATTTTATTCTTCAAGTATTAAAAAAATCGCATACATCCACAACAGCTGTTCATTTTATACACTGGTTTTCCCCCAGAAAACATAATTATTCAAGGCCACCAGAGATCACTTCACGCGCATCTTTATATATAAACATCGCGCGATCAATATTATATTCGCTCGATCGTGACCCCAAAATGCAATGTGTGTCCTGACCGAGTGAATTCATAGACACAACAGACGATTCCAATACACAGAAATGGGGGAAATTCCTACTGACCTATATTTAGACTGAGGTCAACGACTTGAGGTGGATCACGGTGACCTAGCTTACTCTAATTATAACAGGGCAATGTTCTATGATGAACTTCCGTGGCCTGGATATCGTACTATTACGCAAGATGTGTGTTTAAAATCCAGCGTTCATTGAACATTCCCGTCTGATTTAACACTGGGTTATGCAGTGGAAAATTATGATATGGTTAAAAGGTGGATGGAAACTTTCATGTTTAAATAGAGCGCATCAGGGAAATAATATGATTTATCGTCTTCGGAACAAGTAGAATCTTTTTAAACATTATTTTTAAATACAGTTTATATGCATACAACCAGGGACCTATATACCAAGTATAAGTTAGTATATAGGTCCCTGATACAACTTATTCTCAGATTATATATTATATCTACAAATTAATACAGATTAAATAAAGTCATTGACTTTAATAAAAGGTATAATTAATTGATCTATAGAATTATGCATTCATTAAACTTTCAAAGACAGACGAAGTATATCGACTGAGAGTGATTTAAAAGTGCATATTCAAAAATAAACCACTGTGTCAACTGAAGTCAATGAACCCGTTGCACAATATGCCACCTGTAAGCTATATTGTTAAAAAACATCAAAAGCAGGCCGGCCAGTCCTTTTTGGCCCCAGAAATCCCCATGCGCCGAATTCTCTAAATATAAAATGTTAAAATACATGTATGTTGTTAATACATGACCATTAAACAATATGTCAGATGATGTTGTTAAAATTTATATACTAGTATAAACCATTAAAAAATTAAATGTCAATCAGAGTCAAAATGTACAAATGAAAGCAGTATAATAAGTGCATGTAGGGGGCGGATCCAGTAAACTTTTTTTATAACCATTCATTTAAAAACAGCCAATTACGACTAAGACATTTAACAATTGTCTGTAATCAGATGTGATTTTTTTTTTAAAGATTATCCACAAGTTATATTGCAAATATAAAAGAAATATATATATTTTTTTGCTACATACTTTTAACGTAAAACAGACTTGTTTGGATAAAAACCAACAAGCCATTTCTCAGTTCAAGTTTAAAGTGAAAAAAGAAATGTCATATAAAAGAAACAAAAATATTAACTTTTATTTGGAGGTCATACACTCTGCACGCAATCTTACAAGAAGAATGGACACTGATATGTATATGTGGATAAAAAAGAATTTTTGAAAAAGAATGTTCCTCGTGTGGATTAAATTTACTAAATTACTAAATTTACTAAATTTACTCTTTCTATCGCGCCTCAAGTGGTCAGCGGCTTTTATTTCTTTTTCGCTCTCAGCTGCAAGTTTGTTGCTGAAGTAAGTTGTGCGTTCTCTTCCCAAATTCAAACTTGTTCTAAGCATACCTATATTGTCTTCCCACAAATTTTTATTAAAATAGAAAATTTGGTGTTATGACTATTTGTCATAACACCAAATTTTCTATTTTAATAAGAATTTGTGGGAAGACAATATCTTTACTTTTATTCTTTCTCAGTGTAAATTCTACAACAAGAACAAACCAATAATATTTTTCAGATATTTTCTGATATTTTTAGTTGTTGTTGATATAACAGTCATGCACCACTATTAAAAAAAGACTAGGAAGCGATGTGTTTCCCTTGTGGACAGGACACCCCCCACCCCCCTCCCTGCAATATTCAAACCCGGAGCTTGTTGGACATTTCTTCACATGTTATATATTTATTATACACTTAGTACTTGTGTTCTAAATAAGAACGGTCCGACAAGTATGTAGTAGACATGTATACATGTACCTGTACCCTTAAAAAAGTTTCATGTACGAGGGTTGTCCGGTAGAATCGTTGACAAGTTGTCTACAGTGAAAAATAAACTGTATTCCTTCGACCAATCAGATAAAGCGTAATATATCAAACCTCCTGCAAGGATGTCAATAGAGAAATAAAATTTTACGTGTTCGTCTAATAAATCGTCTGATTACAGCATATGAAACACTAAAGATGGGGTTTAAGAGAAGAGTGGTTGCAAAAACATGATAGGTTACACTGTATCAGCTTTGAAGCGGGGAACCCCCCCCCCCCCTTCTTTATAATTTTTGTTTCTTACCTTGTGTATTTTGTGTATTTCTGCCAATTTTTAAACTTTAACAAAAGTACAGACCAGTTGCACAGAATGACATACAGATAGAATTGACGGAGAAATCACATATTTTAGAGAAAATAAAGACTCCTTATATTTTATTAGTTAGTTGGGGGGTGGGGGGGGGGTGGGAGGGGATCCATGCTTCAGGTGCCTGTGGCAGGACCTTATACCCTGTGTGCATTCAAGTGTAATAAAAAAAATTGTCTATATTTTGTTAAAAAAATTTTAGATGCACTCAAATATGATAAATAGACATTTGCTGAAAATTTCATCTTAGTGCGCCCATTATTTTTCGATAAAAACGTTTTGTCCACGATTTAACCGGACAAACCTTGTACAAATGTTTATCTTAAACAGATAGATAACTTAGTTGTTGCTAGAGTGCTAACTCATTGTAGGAGAAGTTTCTAAAATCAGTACAAGGTCTGATCGAGATTTTTTTCTCAAAGAGGAGAGCGGAAGGGGGGGGGGGGGGAATACACACACATTCAAAAACAAGACAAACAAAAACCCCTAAATGAAGTTCCCAAGTCACGAAAGAAGTATTTTGACAGTGGGGCTGGGGTTAGCTGCAGAACTGTAGCTCTTTAGTTGAGAAAATATTAACAGATAAACATGATTTATCTGTTCGAATTTTCTCAACCAGTAAGCTACAGTTCTGCAGCTAACATACCTGGTAATATTTATTATCCTCTCGCAACAGAGTTGGAGGGAGTAAAATAGTTACACGCTAGGGTGTGTTTGTTTGTTAGATTGTCCTTGTGCAAAACGGAAGTGACGTTATTTGCATCGTGATTGATGTCAAATGCTGTTTGGATTTATAAATTATCCTCTTTGCGAGCGGATG